CAATTGAATTAATGTTATTGTCTTATTTCTTGTACAGAATGTGGAATTTCTACACACTAAAGAAAAATGATTTTTCTTTTTGCATTTAAGGCAAATCTTGCCATAAGCAGGACAATTATTTAAATTGTCTGTTCTCCCACAGTGCCTGGACTACCTGACAACCTGCCACCAAGGTGAAATAGGTACACTCGAATTTTAATTTTTTCGTTCAATTTATATAAATCGATATTTCACCTGCATAATTTGTATTATTTTTATTTATAAACCCATTTTGTTTACTCAGCATTTGTCCTTTGTTTTGCTGTTCTCTCCTGTTCTAAACTGCATTAACCTCTCGCTTATCTTCTGTGCCGGGGTATACATTTCCTTATTCTGCTCCTCGGCAATTGTTCATTTAGTGTTGTTGTTGGGCTCCAAAGTGAGCCATTCAAGTATATCTCAATTGGAATAAATATTCTTTGTTTCTTAGCTATTTATTCGCCAAAACAACTTTTCAAATTACAACACAACTTGACCATAACTTGACTATTATCTAACAAATAGTATTCTAACTTTTCGTATATCACTGGTTGCATTGTTGCATACCTGACAGGTTCATTTGAGTGCATTTTCTTGATTATTATTGGTTCAAATTAATGTCGCAAAGCAGACTTACTCAAACTAACCCAAACTAACCCGTCCGCCTAGTGCGATCTAGTCCTCGTGAGACGTGAGCATTTTATTTAAAAAAACAAAATTGATTTACTTTTAGCGTAGCGTCTCTTGAGCGCGCTTTGTTTTTCGAATAAAATGCTAACTTACGAGGACTAGATTGCATTAGGCGGACGGGTTAGTTTAAGTAAGTCTCTTAATTTTTTTGATTATTATTGATTCAATTTAATGTCTCCCTCTTTTGCTTAGAGGTCGCAGTTGTAAATGTCACTCTTTTAATATATCGCTGTTTTCAATGTCGCTGTTTTAATATACATATACAAATAAAACTCACGATATAAGGCTACCTATAAAAATAACAAAAAATACTTAATATTTTTAAAGAAGAAATTTCAGCAATTAAGTCTTTAGAATAAAATCCAGATAAAAAGGGAATACCACAAAGAGCTATATTACTAATATTAAAACAAGTACAAGTTAAAGGACAGAAATAAATTAATCTTCCTATAGATCGAATATCTTGACAGTCATTTAAATTATGAATTATTGCACCAGCACATATAAATAATAATGCTTTATTACATATACATATAGCTACTCTACCAAGTATGCTGTACAGGGTGATCTATTATAAATGTCATCCACTCCTAACTAAGATAGATGACTACATAGGTGGATATTAACAGTTATATGAGACTATAAAAATCTGACAAATTGAGTGTTGTTTTTAAATAAAATTAACTTACAAAATCGGCAATGCCATATTTGTTAAGGAAAATGATAAAAAATTATACAGTGGAACATACGATGATGCGTTCCGAAGTAATCATTTGGGAAAAACCTCGTGGGACACCCTGTATATAATTTCTACATGCAGAATTAAGTCTGTTTAGATTCTCTATAATAGTTCTAACATTCTCTGGCAACAAGTTTTTTTTTTTTTTTTTTTTACGGATATGCGCACTCGCAAGGAAATGTCCTATCACGCTCGAGAAGCGGCAAGTGCGCGGAAATGTCGGTGTATGTTGGTCTTGAAACGGTTCAGGTTGTAACCTGCAGGGAAAACCGTCGTAGGGAGTTTATTCCACAGCGATGCTGTTCTCCAGAGATATGAATTCTGATATAATGAGGTTCTTGGTGCCTCTAGTTTGACAGTAAATTCATGGTTACCGTCTGTTTGACGGGTTCGCCTGGTAGGTGCTACTCTCGGTGGAATCATACGTGCCAACTCTTCAGAGCATTTTCCGTGATAGTACCTGTAGAAGAGAGATAAATCGCCCACCGTTCTGCGATGTTCGAGACCATCCAAGTTACGAGTAAGTGCGGGGTCATTGATCAGCTTGATAGCTCGTTTTTGCACGGTATTCAAAAGCATTAAGGTATGTTTGGGTGCTGCACTCCATATATGTGAGCAGTACTCCATAGTTGGTCGAATCTGGGCTTTGTAGAGTGTCAGCAATTGGCTTGGTGTGTACAGATGTCTTGTACGAAATAGCACCCCCAGCTTTTGGGAGGCCCTTTTAGCAATATCTGCCACGTGACTGTGCCAAGACATGTTGGTCTCTGCAGTAACCCCCAAGATGTTCAACTGACTCTGTAATGTGACAGCACTTCCAGATAGCATGATGTTTGGCTCACCGGTGCTGGTCTTTTTTGAAAACAGAGCTGCTTGGGTTTTCTGCGCGTTGAACTGTACAAGGTTTTTGTTACCCCAGTCCTCTATTATCTCCAGGTCGTTATTTATCTGCGATATTTGAGTTAGTCTAAGATGATGGAATTCACGTGCGGAAAGACCTGTCGGTGGTATGAGTGAGGAGACTACATTGCCATCGTCTGCAAAGCAATAAAGTGGATTTACTGTTTTATCTATGAGGTCATTTATGTAAATCAGAAAAAGAGTTGGCGAAAGGATTGCTCCCTGTGGCACACCAGCATTTATTTGGTAAGAGTTGGAGTTCTGGCCATCCAGTGCAACATAAATGGATCTGTCCTTTAGGTAACTTTCAAACCAAGTGCAAAGTTTCGGCGATAATCCCATTGCTTTGAGCTTGTTGAGCAGATTTTCATGCCAAACTTTGTCGAATGCTTTAGATATATCTAAGGCAATTGTTCTTGTTTCACCCCACAACTCAATCGCTTTTTGCCATAAGTGAGTGACGTATGTAAGTAAATCGCCAGTTGACCTATATTTTCGAAATCCGTATTGCTTATCGTTGATAATTTTGTACTTTTCCAAGTACTTGGTTAGGTGATTGTTCACAACTCTTTCCATTACTTTTGATATCACCGGAAGTAGAGCAATTGGTCTATAGTTTAACGGATCTGTCTTTTTTCCTTTCTTTGGAATGGGTTGTACTGCGGCAGACTTCCATGATGATGGATATACTCCTTGCCTGTAAGACAAATTGAATAATTTTGCGAAAGTTGGGGTGAGTTCGTTGGCGCAATTTTTGAGTACTATTGCGGGAATGCCATCCGGACCCATTGCTTTGTTTGTATCCAGCTTTTTTAGGGATTTTCGTATTTCTCTGTGATAAAAGGGTACCTCTGGCATACTATGGGAAACCCTTTCAATGAACGGTGGAGTTTTTCCGTTTGGCACTGTTAGGTTGGAGTTGGAGGAAAACATTTGGGCAAGCATATTGGCTTTTTCCTCTGATGTTGTGGCTAAGTGATTATTTTTATCTGTAAGTGGTGGTATGGATGACTTGGTGAAGTTAGATCCAACAGCTTTTGCAAGAGACCAAAAAGACCTAGAACTACTTGGACAATTCAGCAACCTGTTTTTTATTCTTTGATTGTATGTTTCTTTAGCGGAGTCAATAGTAATTTTGCAACTATTTCTGGCTTCTATAAATTCTGTGTGGTTTTGAGCGGTTTGTTGTCGTTTCCAAAGGTTATATGCTCTGTGTTTTTTCTGTACAGCCGTTTGACACTGGCGGTTGAACCAAGGTTTTGCATTAGCTCTACGTTTAGTTGTATGTGGGATATATGCGTCCAGTTATAGAATTTTGAACCTAAATAACCAATAAATCTTTGATTGATACTTCTGTGACTAATTAGAATTTGTAATTTGTTCATTGTTATACTTTCTACCTTATAGATATAAAAGCATACAGGGACCTAACATTAAATAATAATTTTTTTAGAAATTTTATTGTCTGTTATATATTTTTTTTGTTTTGTTAAAGTTGCTAGTTGTGAAGACCAACGGCAATCTTCGGCGTTTACCGTTGGTATGGGAGTGAGTTAGAGGATATGGGGAACACATTCGCAATTAATAGTTGTTTGGAATCCATTCAACCATTGGAAATGCGAGGGTCCTGGGTTCAAATCCTAGTCGAGGCCAGAAAATGTTTCATCAATTTCAATTAAAACGTCTGCATGCCACTAAAATTGAATACACTTTAAATTAAATAATAATATTTGAACAACAAACTATTTATAAAAAATTCTCCCTAAAGCTTAAATGGTATAATTTTTCTTTCTTCAACATGAGACCTTGATAGAGATTTTCATGTTTTTCCCTATAACTATTGAAGATAGACATATCAAACCGTATATCATTAAAATCAGGTTGAAGCTAATAGGCGCACAATATACATGGTATTCCATTTAAAAAACATTAAGTACTTCGCACTGCTACACTTTTTGACGAAAAATAAGAAGAAGAGAGAGGACAAAAAGAAAAGGTAACTTAGAATTTTTGGCTTTAGTTCAAATTTCGATGGTTTCTGTTATTTGTTATTTTTCAAAGTATTGTTCCGGGTGTCGTTTCTTTGTTAAATGCTAAATTATAGACAGAAAAACTGTCGAAAACCACGATTTCCTACAAAGTTAACTTTAACCGATACCCCATCCACCTGATAAAGTTAACTCCAAAATTTTGAAGTTAACTATGACATGCGGCGTCATTCCAGGAGTTAACTTTTAGTTAATTGTCAGAATATTTTTATAATACCCGCCCTAACTCAAGGTCCTAGTGAGGCCCAAAAATCTAGCCAATCAACGTCCAAAATCTCAGATCACGCACTCGAAAAAGTCTATAGACCTTATGAACGGACTATAGTTAAAAACTTTTGACAATTTCTCAAAACTTTTGTCAACAACGTCAAATGAAAAAGTTATGAGGAGGTGACATTTATAATAGATCACCCTGTACGGTTTTTTTTTTTCAAAATGGCAGGAATACGTAGAATTAGGATTTATAATTTGGAAAGTCCCTACATAGATCTGAAAATATATCCTCTGTAATGTCACGGCAAATATTTGAGAGCTAGAAATTTAAGGGTCTCTTCTTGAAATCTTGGGCTATTTTAGAAATTTTGGAATTATTTGAATAAGCAAAAACACGCTATAACCAAGAGAGTAGGTACATACTTACTACCAACAATTATTAGCTAATCGCCTTTTAGCGTGAATACTACTTAGAAACTTGTTGCTTAATTTTTATTCATATCGCACTTTTTTTGTAGGATCTCCAGCGTTTTCATCGCGTAGTTTACCTCCTAGCCCTCAAAGGACCCCGAGCAGAAAGCAATCCCTTGTGGCAATAACAAATCCATTCTTGTTATGTTCTACGGCCCTAGATGAAGTACAAAAAAATCCGGCGGAAGCCTACGAGACGGTTTCCAAACTTCTAGAACAGGTAGGTACTTTGTTAAACTTGAAACTAGACATTTGATTTTTTCCATTTTATTAAGTCTAATTTGGATTGTCAGATTGGACTCCTTTTGATTAAATCATAGCTTTCACCAAATACTATAAAATTGCCCATTTAGTCAATCTATTCATGTTTCATAATGAATTTGGCCCTCTTTCAAATAATCAATAGGTACTTCAAGTCGACTTCTCAAAAAGTCATCAGAATCAAAATCGTTTATTGGTGTTCAAATACACAATAGTGTTTACACAAGTAATTAAACTACAAGAAAATATGTGAAAACTTGTTGCTTCTGTAGTATCTTCAAACTAAAATAACAGAAAAGCTGAAAACCTTTATTTGTTGATTTTAGCATTTCTATCTTGTCAAACATATTGGTCAAATTAAATATAGAAATTACTACTTGCATGGATTATTCTACAAAAATATAAATGTGTATTGAATTCAGTCTCTTCTCGATTCTTAGCTAGACCCTTGTAAGTGAATGAGTATTTTTATACAGTCAAACTAGTAATGAGATAAAATATCAAAAATCAGATATTTACTAAAGAATTTTATAAAACATAAAATTTATATTTTTTGGTATAACTTTAAGGTGATGCAGTGTCCATCGGATGAAACCCTAATGGACAATGCCAAAGAAAGCGGTCAAAAAATGTACGCAAATTTGAGTGTAGAAGAGAAAAAAGAAAAAATTAATCTTATGGTAAGCTTAAGCACAGCTCCAAAAAGTGCCGAAAGTTAGTGTAATCACATTTTTGCACTATACTATAATGCTACTGCCCTTATCCAGCAAATAAAAAGGCAAATTATTTATCACCAAAAATTCTTAGATGGCCGAATTGAAAAAGACCCTTGACCTGTCCACTGCCGAACACATGGATCTAACGAAAAAACTCGGTTCTGAGGAGTCGGAAGTGGAAAAAGCCAAATTGGCTTTTATGATTGGACAAGCCGATGCCAAAGTTCACGCCCTCTCCGTTTTGATGTTGCACTATTGTTCCGGGCTGCAGTATACCCAAGAAAAAATTGTTTAGTAAGTATCGTGTGATCATTTAAAATCGACTATGGAGGTGGTTATGATTTTGAAAATGTCGAGTATACCACCTTGATTGTTAAACTTCTTTCTTGTCAGCTTTTATAGAGACGATGTTATGTTTTGAAATAATAACAGCCACACTAGAGTCGAGTGTATGATCCGCATAAGAAAATCACAATTTTTAGTTAGGCAACATTGTCAGGATATAAATATTTAAAAACATTGTTCGAGTATTTATTTTGGTTCCTATACTTTTTAGACCTAATATAGAGCTAAATATCGATAAAACAGACACCCGGAATCGTTTAAAAAAATTGAAATCTTAGAGAAGTGTGAGGTATATCGCAATAGATTTTTGTAAGGTAAAAATGCTTAAAGTTTACAACCATCGTTTCGAAACAACTTGTTAGATAACTTTATATCACAACAATTATCTATTCATTTGATCGTATCTGAGCTGTTATATCCTGTTGTAGCTTGCTGATCTCGTATTTAAGTTCTTTACTCAAGAAGTGATTTGGTAACATTGATCAAATCATCATCATGAGTCCCAAATTCTTCCTGGAAGTGGAACTTAGTTTTGCTTATTTAATGCTTCTCAGGGAAGTCGATCGTTCTTGCCTTTATACTGATTGTATTCAAGAATTTCTGACATTGTGCGAAAACAAATAGATGATTAAAAAAGTCCTCTCTGAAATAGAGATATCTATGGCCATGAATCACTAATCCAGTAAACCACAATGTATTACCCTTAAGGGATTTCATAAAAAATAAACAGGTTTCCTGTCACACCTTTAAGGGATTTCAACTTTTTTAAACGCGTCCGAGATTTTTTTATCACTAGATTACAAAAGACACATATCCCTTTTCACAAAGCCAAATAAAAACACACAAGATCTAAATGTTGCACCAAGAATGAAAGATGCGAGCACTAAATTAGTAACTGTAGGATACTTGGTCCAATTGTGTTGAAACTGCCATTGTACCATCCCATCCTATAGGATAATTAATCAATAAGATGTTAGTACAGGGACAAGACTCATAGATGGCTATCAGAAACACATTGAAAGTCACATACCCATACTAACATGTTATTGAATAATTGGATATATGTATTACATAACCAATGATATCTGTTTTGTATCCTAAAAATGGAATGGTGAAACGAATAGATAGTATCATTTACCAGAATAATGAACAGATATAACTCCTAGTCAATTAAGCAAAAAAGCTTTATTATATAAAAATGTGTAGTTATAAGTTATAATGTAGTTGTTTAAGCAGTAAAATGGGTGATGATTTTGCAGAGATTCTCCGGGGTTGTGAAAATTCGTTAATAATTATTAGTATACAAAAAAACTGAAAATACATTTAATTTTTCTGATAAACTTTTGATTCATCCAGAGATTTTCTGTAAAAGCATCACAATCTTTTCATTTAATTTTTTCAGTATTTTATTTCAATTGTGAGACGCACTTTGTATTATGTTGTTGTTAGTTAATTTTAATTTTAAAAAATGAACCCTTTTGAGTACTTAACATGTATTGTGATATTTTCAAAGTTATTGATTGTAAACATTTATGGGTGTCTAGACACGATTCTTTTAATAAATAAGAAGAAAAAATTAGTTTCATTACTGTAATTCCCCAAATAAAAGGCCCATTCCAATAAAAAAATTTATTGATTAATTATGCTTCCAATATAATAATATAAATAAAACCTGTTATAACTCAATTATATTTTTAGGCCTTTATGGATAAATACATTTTTCCTTTCAACGTCTGTTTGGTAGGATTGATTTTTTTCAATATTTGCGTCATTATATTGACAAGTTGTTCACTGGACAGACCAGTCTTTTTGGACTTGAATTTTTGCAATAGTTCGGTGGTAGTCATGGGTTTTCGCATTAAATATTTTCTCACTGCATCTTCAGTTATGCCTGACTCAGCCAATCCTGAAAATATAAATAATGTGAATTGAAAATCTGAAAGAGCAGCAATTGACTGTATGTTACCTGGTATAAAGTTTGGTAAGTCAAGTTTTGGCTTCTTGCTGGGTCCAGCCATTGCCTCATTAACAAGTTTACGTTTTCCGTCCGGTGTTGGTGTACCTGCTCTGCTACTTTCTGCACTGTAACAACAATAAATATTCATTACATTTTCAATTTTCATGGAAATTTGTGTTGTTACCTTGTAGGTTCAGTTTTTGTTTCAACTTTTTCCTTATTATTGTCCTTTTTCTCTGCTTTCTTCTTTTTATTATTGCTATTAGTAGAAGTGGTAGCATCTTCATCTGTAGTGCTATCAGAGCTAAAGTCATCATCCGGATCGTTCTCTTTTTTCTTTTTGTCTTTAGACTAAAATAAAATGCTTAGAAAAGAAAAATTACAAAAAAATGTTATGCCTTTTTGTTGTCTTTTTTCTTTTTCTTCTTATCCTTATCATCGTCCTTTTTCTTTTCATTCTCATCCTCCTTTTCTTCCTCTTCATTTTCATTATCTTTATCTTCCTTGTCAGAATCTTCAGATTCTTCTTCATCGGAATTCAACAATTTTCTATAAATAAAATTAATAGAATTGAAAAAATATTGCCATAATAAAATCGAGCCTACTTGAGCCCTTTCTCCTCAGCCACGCCATCCAAATTGACATTTTCCGGCTCACTCTCGCTACTGTCACTGATGTAATCAACTTCTCTGCCTTCTTCGTCGCCGTCATCAGAATCTTCGCCTGCCTCTAAATCAGTGTCTCGCTTCTTTTTAGGTTTTCCGTCTTTAACATAATTTGAAAATTATTATCATTACAAATTAAAATCCATACATACTTTTTCCTTTCTTTTTGTTCTTTTTAGCCCCATTATCATCTTCATTGTCTTCTTTCTCCTCTGCTTCAGAATCGGAATCCCCATCCGAACTATCCATCCACTCGTCCATTTCAGATATTTTCAATTCCTTGTCTTTCTTCTTTGATATCTTCTTGCTTTTTTCACCTTCATCATCAAGATCTTTATCATCTTCGCCTTTAAGCCTTTTTCTATAAAAAAATACCTCGTGCAAAAAACAATTACCTCAATAAAATTAGTTCTTACCTTAACATAAGGGAAAAATAATTCAAATGCTTGTTCCTTTTATTGAACTCCATTTCAGCTTCTTCAGCCGATAAAGCTTTGTAACGTTGTATGGATTGAAATTTGTACCATTCATTTAAAGGAAATGCTTCGATTGCACCATCCTCTGCATGTGTAAAAACGTAATAAGCTGCATTTTCTGAGATTCCACCTTCCCTGATACCTTTGAATTTCTTCACAGTGCTTCCATAACATTTAAGAATCCACGGTTGATCGTCTGGCCTGTATTTTTTTGCTATAATACCCAATTTCTTTCTTCGCGCTTCTTCTTTTGCTTCACGCCCGAACTCAGATCCTGCACCAAACCTATCAAGGATTTTATTAGTAGCCAAAATCAAGATGTTATTAGTATTAATGGCTTACTTTGGTTGTTCTTCGTCTATCCCTTTGAACTCTTTTATGTTGTTTTCACGTTCCATTTTCACTTGAGTCCATTTTCCAAAATCAACCCCCAAATTGCCATTGAATCTCATCACATGGTAATTCCTTTGGTTGGTTTTGGGGACCCTTATAGTGAACTCTTGAACGGAGACCTTGAGCAACAAAAAATGGTGAGAAAGATTGTTTCCACAGGAATTCAGATTCAAATATATGTACAGTTGCGATCAAAAAAAAGTAGTACAAAAATTATTTATTCCAATTTGAGCTCTCGGTGTAACATACAAAATTTTGACAATAAATAAACAGGCAATGACATATTTTAGGTTAAAAACGGGTGGAAAAATGCCAAAGTAATGTCCTCTGAAGCTTTCTAGGTTAGAAACTTGTCGAAAAATGCCAAAAATATGTAATTTTTGGTTATGAATTAAATTAATGTATAATAGACCAGGAGATTTTGGAGATTTTTCTTGTACTACTTTTTTTTGATCGCAACTGTACATATATATATATAGGTTCTATATTTTTGTTTTAGGTGATACCGCTGTTGCTATATCCAAAACGGTAAGAGCTAAAAGGTCGGCTGAACTAGAAAAAAGTTGCCTTTTTTGATGTCCATCCAAGACCCGTTTACAGTGTTGCCAAATTCTTTTTAGTTTATGGAATACAGGGTGATTTCTAAGAAACGCCTAAAAATATTTCATAAATTATTTCGAAAACTATTGATTTTCAAGACACAATTTAAATTTGAAAGTTTTCTCATTTTTTTTCGCTCTTCAACATGGCATAAACACCATAACATTCTAGCTTCCATTCAACTGGTTATAAAGCAGCTCAAGTCGTTTCTCGTTTTTTCCTGCTTTCAAAGTCATAGTTAATTTGTAAAATTTCACAACGGTTGTGCTTTGTTTGTGATCTAAGTGTACTGCTGAATAGTTCGTATATTTTCAGTTGTTTATCCCATGGTTCTCAGTCCGCATTGCTTTGATAATAATAATAATAATAATAACTCTTCAGCATAACGATCTCACTTTGATAGATAAGGTAAATCAAAACACATATTTTTTTTTATATCTAATAGACATAGTAATACCTACAGATAAGAACATCAGCAAAAAGTACGCCGAAAAAATTGAAAAATATACATCCTTGGCAATGGAAATTGAAAGAATTTGGAAACAGAAAAAAGTCCACATCATAGATACCATTCCTAAAGCATTCACTCAACATCTAAAACATCTGCAGCTAGATACAGTCATACATGAGTACATACAGAAAGCCATAATACTAAAAACATGCAATATAGCCCGAACTTTTAGTCCGAGAGTTAACAACATATTTTAGTGTACAGGGTGGGCCAATTTGGACACTTTTAATAGGAAACGTCAATTTCTGAGCAAGATACAAAAAAATGAACCCCCCACTCTGAGGCTCAAATTTCATAAAATCTTGATTGGTGCAAACCGCATTTTGATATCTTCAACCGTTTAGCCGCTAAAGGGCGATTCTCGATTTTAATCAATATTGTGAAACCTTCATAATTTTTTTGTCTATGAAAATAATTGATTTTTGTAAACACTTTCTGGAAGCACTTTTTTAAGCAGACTTCAGTGGCGTTCTCAGTTTTATTCTATTTGGCGCCGATTTTGAGATATTGACCACAGTCTGATTTTTTTCAATAGGGACGCCCTTTATATTAATAGCTAATTGAAAAGCAATGATTTTTCTGATTTTAATGATATAAAGTTCGATAGGTTTATCTCTAACCGTTTTCGAGAAAAAAAATTATTTCGGTTTTTCTCATAAGAAGCTATGTGTTAGAAAAGAACTTTATATCTGTAAGGAAAATGAAAAAAGTCTAACACATTGTTTTCTTATGACAAAAACCAAAATAATTTTTTTTCTCAAAAACTGTTCGAGATAAACCTATCGAACTTTATATCATTGAAATCACCAAAAGCAGAGCTTTCCAATAAGCTATTAATATATAGGGTGTTCCATTGAAAAAAAGAGTTTGCTCAATATTTCGAAGTTGGGGCCAACTACACCATTTCCAAATCCAAGCGGCAGTAAATGACATTTAATAACCTAAATTGTAAAGAAACACCAGCCTTCCTATTAGTTGAATAATGCCCTACCTGGACCGGTGCGCATGCACGGAGGACATTTGATAGGTTGTAATGAAAATTACCAGTTTGTCATTTACTGCCGCTTAAATTTGGAAATGGTGTAGAAAAAAATTGAGAACGTCACTGAATTCTTATTCAAAAAGTTCTTCTAGAAAGTTTTTATTGAAATGAATCATTTTCATAAACAAAAAAGTTATGGAGGTTTCACATTATTGCTCAAAATTGAGAATCGCCCTCTAGCGGCTAAAAGGTTGAAAATATCAAAATGCGGTTTGCACCAATCAAGATTTCATGAAATTTGAGCCCCAGAGTGGGTGGTTCATTTTTTTGTATCTCGCTCAGAAATTGATGTTTCTTATCAAGTGTCCAAATTGGCCCACCCTGTACAGACGACTTTTGCTGTGGAATTTAGGTGGCAGACGATATTTTCTATGCTTTCTATGTTTCTACCAATACCTACAATAAGTTTCGCTTTTGCGGCTATAAGTTTTTTTCATTCATTTTTTGCTGTAATTGTAACCCTCCTGTAACCTTCTACCATTACTATCATATACCACATGCATAACACATACTAAAAGAATGAAGCTTGCGGAAATGGTACAATGGAATGAATTATTAAATCAGGGTTGGGGACTCTGTTCGATTTGAATGCCATTTTTTAACAAGCTTTTATTAGAGGGGCCAAATTTATAGTCGTGCCTTGAATCTTCCCTGGAAGTCGTTACTCTTCAATTTAGAATGACCACTTGTTACTATTTAGTATTTGACAAGTTTATCATGCCATAACATCCTTAAGGTCAGAGGAACTATAAATTTGGCCCAGTGATTTTTTTGGGTCATTACTCATTGATATTACTTAACTAAACTGAATAGTGAGTGCTACGTGCTACGTTCATCCTATTAACTCAACGCATAAATTAATGAGAGGTGGAAAGTAATTTTTTTTTTGTAGTAGGTAAGTAGGTAAGTAACTGAATATTTGGAATATTATAAAAAATTGATTAGGTACTCACATTTGAACTAGATGCAGACGCAGCCGAGGCCGAGGTCGCCGAGGATGCAGCCATTTCAGAAAAAAATAACTCTATTACAATTTAGTATCGATATTCAGGAAACTTCCTTCTTCGGATTCTGATTAGAGCATAGAGGATTAAAGATTAGAACTTTAGAAATTTTCCATATTGGATACCAACAAAGTTGAGCAACTCAGCCAAAAACAACACAAATTAGAAATTTGGACATTTGATTTTTTCAACTTTGAGGTTAGGCTTATGCTTATAGCCTATAGCGCTTTCAAATTCACTCTTAAAGACGTATTTTATCGACCAGTGAACATCATACCACACATACTACGATTCATGACGTCATAGTTACCCAAATAACAGCTGGAGTGTATTTGACAAAGGGTCTAAAAGAGGACGCTATGATTGTTGTTTATTTGGGTTTGTTGAATTTCACAAAATTTTGCGTTTTCGAGTTTCAATTATCTCTCCAGTGAAGATTTTCGAATATTTTCTATAGATTGTGGTATTTTTAAATTTCATGGGGACGCCATGCAAAAAATAAAATAAAATTACATTTTTGTGCACAATAAGTGAAGATTTTTTTTTGCAAAAAACCTCTAATAAAAGCACAGAAAACCATGGCAAAATGGGGAAAAACAATCCTCTATTTATAATGGAAAGAACTGTGTTAGTAATCGTAGTCAGCTGTTTTGCCCATATGCTCATTTTCGTGTATTAGAAAAAGATGCACTGACATACTACAACCAGTAACTATCCCTCGTAGGGGATCGCCCCATTTGTGCTAATGTCCATTTGGGATCGCCCCATTTGTGCTAATGTTCATTTGCTCTACCCACCCGAAGTCGCTGTCGGGCGGGATCGTCGGGCGAGCCGAAGTCCGACCGGAGTATATCCCTTATCGAAACGAATGCAGTTGTCGCAGGAGCGGCTTGTGGCGCAAATGAGTACAGCGTTACCGTTCCCTCTCTTGCGGGTATTTAAAATAGAAAATAGAATTCTATTTCTATATTATTCAAGTATTGTGAGTCGGTGTGGTGTTTTTTTTACTTTAAAAATGGAAAATTTTAACTTTTAATATTTTATTGGTTAAATAATAATTTACTTTAAAAATTGAAAATATTAACTAATATCATATGGTTCACAATTACATGGTTTTGTTTTTTGATTGAAATCCAAAAAACTTTTACCTTTTTTTTGCTAGCTATAGGTGGCTGTGGTTAGGTCTATTTTACTTGAGATAATAGACTTTCCTTAAATATCAGAGTTCTTTTCATAGATATATTCATCTTCATGTAGGTTCTAGCAATATAATAATAAAGCTCTCCTTGGTGGGTATTTCTTTTTCACCTTTTATTATTAAATAAGAACATGAAAAATATTTAATTTCAAAATGTCTATTTTCAATATCAATTGGCATTTTATATACATTTGTTACAACATGGATTCAACAATAATAATGATAAATTACAATAATAAGTACCTACTTTTTAACAATAAATAATAAGTAGGAGGTGAAGTATATGTTTTACTTGGTGAGTCATTAAGTATACTCCTAATTGTTTTAACTATATCAAACTTTATTGAGTGTTTCACTATTTCGGAACCATGCTTAGTTGTTAAATGCCTTCTCTACTCCTGGTTTGTTTTATATGACATTTGGAAATCCTCCATACATTTGAAGAAAGCATCGTCAAAGGCATATTCGGGAACTGTAAAAGAAGGGATTACTCTTTCTCCAGAGAAGCTGAGAGAAGCAATTGTTTCTCAAACTTTACCTATTAAATAAACGTTAACTAATATAAAATACTATTGTGACTTCTTCCAAGTAATATCCTCACCATTTTTGCAATTATTACTGTTTTCCAAGTGTTTGTTGAGGTTGTATTTTGTAGAAAAAAACCTTAGCACAAAATTCACAGGTAGCACTATTACTTGGTCCATTTTCCATTATTTCCTAATTCCAGGCGCGGCTCCTCTATAAGGTCATTCGGTCAATGACCCACCAAAAAATCAAACAATAAATTTTCAATTAAACATCTTGGATATTTAGTTTTAAATTAACCAACATCACGCTCAACAAAATGCAGAAATCGAATTATTTTGCGCCCTGAACTCGAAAAACGGCGCTGTTTCTCTAAATTTGACCCACCTCACGAGCCGCGCCTGCCTAATTCCCAATTACAATAAATTTATTGAAATAACTATTATATAGCTAATCAATTCTAGAACACCACACCACGAACTATCGATAGTATTTATAGGATAATATTATTACTTAATTAATAATATTATTGAGATAAAAAGCTTACAGAACGCAGAAACAGAAAACAGTAATATCGTTAAACTTTGAAATACGCAAAAATATTCGCGCCAAATATTTTCAAATTCAAAAACAACAAACAAAAAACATGACCTAATTTTCTCGGCTGTCATAGCCATTAACCCTTTTCACGTGGCTCCGGTTTAACAAACCGCAACATACTGCTCAAATTCGGGTGGTAGGTATCCATCACGTCACTTTGTAACCGGGTTAGAAAACGGTATGTCATTTCTCTAACCGTTTTGTAACCCGGTTAGCTAAACCGGAGTCACGTGAAAAGAACTATTGGTCATAGCAAAGGGAAGTTCGCCACGGCAAGGCTGTGACAGAGAGTAGGTTGTCTAATAACAAGGTTACAAGCAACGCGTCATCAGGTAGGCGAAAAATTTGTAAAATACGTTGTTATGGATGTTCCGTTTCAGCTGCCGGATTCTATTTACGAGTCGAGTCGAAATTCGTATCGAATTTTCAAAATAGCGATTCTGTTTTTAGATTTTTCAACGTCCGGTACATCCGGAGCTGTCGTATTCGATATCGAGACAATTCGAGTTGACTCGTAAAATAGAATCCGGGGGCTGATTTGTTTTGTGATCATTCATAGGTGGGTTCGGCTCGCTCACTCCGTGCACTCCGAGTAACTCCATTCGCACTCCAGCCGTTCGGGTTAAGGTTCGGGTATTGCTTTTTACCGTATTAGGGGTGACTCCATTAGCTCTGTTCACTCCACTCCAACTCCGCGCTGAATAGCCGAACCCAGCTCATGTTATTATGTAGCTATTTCAAACTATTTTTAATGTAAACACTAACATACTGCATAGTTTAGTTTTGCAATTCTAGGAGTGTTTAGTGTGCGCATATTTTTATGGGTGATGTATGTACACCTGCTAAATTGGTTTAAAGTTACGTGGCAACCTTGTCTACTATCCTTGAAGAGACAGACTATTTTGCTTTTAAGGCCGAGTTCGGCTTTGCACTCCACGGAGCGAAACGGTATGAACAGGGATATCGTGACGGTGACGTCATACGCAGAGTGCGCCCTGAAGTCTGTGTTTTTTTTAAAGATAAAAGTCAAAATGCCAATAGTTGTATTCCTTTCACATCTAGGAGGAGCTCCGGAACAGCTCCGGGGCTTCACGCGCTTATTCCTTTCGAAAAGTGTTTGTTGCACCACGCATATGTTCCCTGCAAATCGGGGGCGACTAAGCACCGAAGCGAGTAGCTCGAGTGTTTCAAGCTCTTGAAAGGAATACAACTATTATGTTGGCAATACAATGAAAAATTGTCAATGTTTTCAAATTTTTTATATGTAGAAAAGGCTTCAACATAGTTACTAAATTTTTGACTTGGGGAATTATCTTTAAAAAAGACAGACTTTAAGCCAAACACAGATCGAAACAAATCCTCAAACCCTTGCGCAGTCACTAAACTCAAAAAAAATTGTTTCGTTTTGATTTTATTTTACTAGTAAACCGTAGTAAACGAGTAGGTGAATTAGTAATGGACCTGAAATAAAAGTAGAAATCTAGGAAAAAAACCGCGATAACTAATATCTCTGGTGCTCCTCCATCCGTCCATCCATCCATCCATCCATCCATCCATCCATCCATCCATCCATCCATCCATCCATCCATCCATCCATCCATCCATCCATCCATCCATCCATCCATCCATCCATCCATCCATCCATCCATCCATCCATCCATCCATCCATCCATCCATCCATCCATCCATCCATCCATCCATCCATCCATCCATCCATCCATCCATCCATCCATCCATCCATCCATCCATCCATCCATCCATCCATCCATCCATCCATCCATCCATCCATCCATCCATCCATCCATCCATCCATCCATCCATCCATCCATCCATCCATCCATCCATCCATCCATCCATCCATCCATCCATCCATCCATCCATCCATCCATCCATCCATCCATCCATCCATCCATCCATCCATCCATCCATCCATCCATCCATCCATCCATCCATCCATCCATCCATCCATCCATCCATCCATCCATCCATCCATCCATCCATCCATCCATCCATCCATCCATCCATCCATCCATCCATCCATCCATCCATCCATCCATCCATCCATCCATCCATCCATCCATCCATCCATCCATCCATCCATCCATCCATCCATCCATCCATCCATCCATCCATCCATCCATCCATCCATCCATCCATCCATCCATCCATCCATCCATCCATCCATCCATCCATCCATCCATCCATCCATCCATCCATCCATCCATCCATCCATCCATCCATCCATCCATCCATCCATCCATCCATCCATCCATCCATCCATCCATCCATCCATCCATCCATCCATCCATCCATCCATCCATCCATCCATCCATCCATCCATCCATCCATCCATCCATCCATCCATCCATCCATCCATCCATCCATCCATCCATCCATCCATCCATCCATCCATCCATCCATCCATCCATCCATCCATCCATCCATCCATCCATCCATCCATCCATCCATCCATCCATCCATCCATCCATCCATCCATCCATCCATCCATCCATCCATCCATCCATCCATCCATCCATCCATCCATCCATCCATCCATCCATCCATCCATCCATCCATCCATCCATCCATCCATCCATCCATCCATCCATCCATCCATCCATCCATCCATCCATCCATCCATCCATCCATCCATCCATCCATCCATCCATCCATCCATCCATCCATCCATCCATCCATCCATCCATCCATCCATCCATCCATCCATCCATCCATCCATCCATCCATCCATCCATCCATCCATCCATCCATCCATCCATCCATCCATCCATCCATCCATCCATCCATCCATCCATCCATCCATCCATCCATCCATCCATCCATCCATCCATCCATCCATCCATCCATCCATCCATCCATCCATCCATCCATCCATCCATCCATCCATCCAT